ATTTATTGAAGGTGAAGGTTTTTATAGATTGAATTAAGATGGCATGTAATTCTTTTTTTATATATTTCTATGTTCCCAGAAGTAAAGACAGTGGAAAGTAGAAGAATTGACCCAAATAAGCAGTATTTTATTTGTGTGAGTGGCTTAAGTCCTTCAGTATCGGAGGTAAACCCATCTTTCTTTAAATGGTATTGATAATATTTGTCTGTCTGGTAAATGACATTTAGTATAAATTTACAACCTAAATATGCTTATTTATTGCAGGTTGATCTTAGGTCTCAGTTCAGTAAGTATGAGGTTTCTGAGGTTTCAATTTGTGAGGATCCTAATCAATACAGGTACATTAATATGAGCATTTATTTGCATGGGATTCAGAATAATAGAATAACAGAATAAGTAACAGTAGTTTTAACTTTGTTTTATTTGAATAGCATTTTATTTAAATTGTTTTCCATCTGGTATATTTTAGATGATTATTTGGCAATGACTTGTGCTGGAGGCAGCTAACATGTTATGGAAAATTATACATTTTAAAGGTTCTGTTCTATATTGTAATTCAGTTAAAAGCAGCATTTAACATGCTAAGGCAGAGAGTTCTACTATAGTGGAAAGGCATTGTGGTTATGAATATGGTAATTAACTATATTGCATATTAGTTTAAACTATATTTTCTTAATTCTAACATATATATTTTTCAATTGTAGTACATATGCTTTTCTTAGCTTTAAGAAAGCCAGTAAAGCAAAGTTGGCTGTGGAAGAAATGAATGGAAAAGAAATAAAAGGAAAAGCAATCATTGTTTGCTGCACAAAAACTGCAGAAGAAAACGTATCTCCAGCTTATCAAAAGCTCTCAAGTCCACCATTCTGTAAAAACCAAGTCACTAATAGTGTGCAAAAAAATGCTGAAAATACATATCCCCCCTCCACTTCCTTGAAAGTGCCAGTCACCACTTCTGCCTCTGTAAGAGGGTGTGCTCCTCCTCCTACTTGTTCAAAAGTTCCTCCCCTGATCCCCACAAAAGTACTCAGCTCTTTAAAACCCCATACATGTCAATCAGTTGCAGTTACTCAAAAGGTAAATAAATTCTTCCCTCAAATACTACGTGTTAAATTGCTTCAAGTTTTATAAAGCTTGAAGCAGACACCCTTATTTCTTATGTGAAATGTAAGCATATGTAGCAGTACTAGTATTGGCTTGTGTCACTGTCTTTCGGATTAAAAATATCTGTGATAATGGAATGGACAAAACTCATCTTTGGCACTGAATATATTGCATCTTATTTTGGTGTTTCATTTTAGATGTACAAGTTTTGATTCTTAAAACGTTTGCATATGGTAATAATGTCTTGTGACTTATTAATGTAAAAGAAGTGTTTTAAATTTATGGCAGAATTGGAGAGACAACTTCTGTTTTAATTTAAAATGTTAAATGATTAATATACTTTCAGATGTTCATGGTCCACTTACAGAATCTTGTGGTTATGGTTATTAGAAAAAATCAGAACTTTGAAAGCTCTTGGATAAATCTGAATGATGCCTATTTTACTGTGTTTACACATGAAAAAACAACACTAACAAGAGTATCTTTAATTTTAATGAGCAACCTATTTGGCCTGTCTTTTACTATTTCTGTTAAGTTTCTATATAGATATAGATAGTTATGAGATGCAGTAGTTAGTTGCATAATATAATAGTTGGTTTTATTCTTTACAAACAAATGTGTACATATGTATTAAACTAGGTTAGCTGTGCAGCATATAACACTTTTATTTTCAATTTGTTTAATGTATACCTAGACAATCAGAGGGGATCTTCTGAAGGTAAAATCTGTTCAGTTCTTTCCTGATCCATCTGCCACCTTTATGCCTCCTAACACATTGAATTTGAGCAGTTTTACCAAATTAATGAAGAAACTGCAAGAACTGCATCCAGAGGCTAGCAGGTAAAAAGTGTCTTTGATCTTTTTCCCTGCCCTGATTTATGATTAGTCTAATATATGAGATAATCCAATAGAGCAATACATGTTCAACTGTGGTTGTCTGTTGTTTTCTTTACATATCTTTATACTGTGCTAAAGAAAAATCTTATTTCTCTATTACTTACTTATTTAGAAATGATATTGTGGATGCTTTACTGGAAGTGAGAACAAATAATAACGGTTTTCTCAGTGGCCTGTCTATTAATACTATTGTGGAAATGGCTTCCTTGGCTCTGAGGAAAAATACAGGACAGTATAAGAAGAAGTAGTACAGATAGGTGAGTATTTGAGTGTGCAAAGGTCCATTATTTAAAAGATGTATTACTGTTATGCATATAGAACTTGGCTAATATAGTACATAACTTCTTATGTTGGAGCAAAACATCCATAATCAAACATTTTTGGCAGTGAGTAGTTTGAGACAAGTCACAGAGGTTTTAACTTCCCTTGATGTAGTTAAAGTGACTGTTTACATTTGTATTAATGTCTGAAGTTAAACTGCCAGCTCATTGTATGAAACTTGGCATATCAAGGATCTTTTTATCCAAACCATTTCTTTTTTGCTGTGAAAAGAGTAGATTTTTTTTTCTCTAGTAGTAGTAGTACTGTGAATGCATTCACAAAAATGTTCCAGATAAGTGACATCTATTGGCCAGTTCTTGCAGTGGCGCTCAATATAGACAGTCCAGTGAATATCTTAAAAGGGTCAATTTTGATGTAAGAGTTGAGAATCTTAAGTTCTGATAAAGATGAGGATGGGTAAATTATTGTAAATATAAATAAAATGTTAAAAGATTCTAATAAGCTAAAGTTTCTAACAAAATACATCTTGAGATGAACAAACCATTTTTTTTTTTTTCCTTCTACAGCTTTGCAAGTATGGGAACAGAAAAAGGCTGAGAGAACCAGGGTAAAAACTTTTACAGTTTATTAAATTTTGTTTTCAAAACATTTTCCATTTTGTAAAGTTTAAAAGCTCTCAGATATTTTATGCTCAAGTGGCTGAACATTCTCAAAATACTAGCTTTAGGCTTTATGTTAATATTTGTATAATAATAATTTTGTTCTGCTGTGGTGTTAATGAAAACATAGTTGTAGCAAAATCTTTCTCTTTCATTATGAGAGAACAGGGTGAAATGAAAGCAGCCATTTGCCTCTGGAGCTATTAAACCACTGCATTAATAGTTTCCTAAAATAACTAAACCTGTGTAAGAATGTATTCTTTAGGCCATGTTCATAAGGGAAAAGGTGCAAAACACGAAAAAGTGTTTTCTTTTTAACTTGTTTTATAATATTCTGGCTCTAAAAATGTGTAATTTCAAGTGTGCTCTAGCTGTGCACCCACTGAGGGAAATACCCTTTGAGAATCTTAAGTTCTGTCTTGCAAACTGATGAAACATCAAGCCATGTTTTGATGGTTGCTATGTTATATTATATAACACTGCTATATGAAACTAATACTGGAAAATGTTATTTCTTCTGTATAGCCATTTAACTGCTTCAGAAAAGCTTGGTGTAAATTTCAGTTGTGTACTTTGGTTTTGACTTTTTTACAAACAATAAAATGTTGGTTGGTAAAAACAATGTGTTTTATTTCTTATATTTGAGGTAATATTTTATATTTGGATTAGAAATGTAGAGCAGTAAATGGCACTGAATTTTTTGCAGGTCTCTACTCATGTAGTAGAATATAAATACAGGAGGCAGTTGATAGGTTGTTTTTTTTTTTAACTGCTACTAATTTGTAAAGGAAATGTTTTAAATAAAAGAGTCTAGCCTTTGTAAATAAAAGGGAAGTATGCTTAGCTTAGGCCCCAGTTAAGTAGGGTGCTTCAGCGTATGCCTATTCTTCAGCATGTGAGTAGCTCCTAAGTTTATATGTGTGCTTACCTACCTGGCTGAATTGGGACATAAAATAATAAATGAATTGACTTTAGAAGCATTGTATATTAAACATAAGAAAAGCAAGTATCCACAAAGCCTTAGAAGTAAATAAATATAGACCTCTTAACAACTTGCATTTGTTTGACCAGAGTGCCGAAAAAAACACAATGTCTACCTTGGAAGCTGCTGGAGTGTTGGCATGGCAGAAAAACAAAATGAGGGTGGGAGGGGGGTACATGGCAAGACACACTGCATATTAGAATATTTAATCATCATAAATGTTGGCTTTGTTGTGTATTCTGTTTTTGTTGAGCATGTTGCAACGAGAGAGAGAAAGAAAAGAGAGACAAGAGAAGGAGGAGAGGGAGAACCACACACACACACACACACACACACACACACACGTGCGCGAGTACACATCCAGAACCAGACACATGTGTGGGCACACAGATGCACAGAACCAGATGCACGGGCGCATGGAGCCGGGCTCCTGGACCACTGAACAAAGTCCAACCGGACAATGCCCTGCTCCCGCCAGAGCCCCTGTGCTTCCCTGGGCAGCCAGCCCCCAGGCTTGCAGCACAGCTGGCCGCGGCCCTGGCCCAGAGCCTGCCCATCAGCCCAATCACCCACCTACCCTGCACAGCTAAGCTCGCAAAATGTGCAGTGCTCCTGGGAAGGGGCAGTGCCAGCCTCATCCTGGTGGAGGGGCTGGGCCAAGGCTGGGCTCAGAGTGGGAGGGCATCAGGTGGGCTCACCTGTATGCCCTGCTGCAAGCAGCCTAGGCTCCGTGGTTGGCAGCAGCTACCAGAGCCTGGGCTGGCTGCAGCTGGGAGGCTGCAAACAGCTGCTCCGGGCTCTGGCATCAGCTCCATACTGGTGGGTGCATGCAGACCTTAGAGTGGATGGTGGGGATAGGGTCTGAGGCAGCACAGCCTTCCCACTGTCCGCTCTGAGGTGTATGTGCAATCACCACCAGCATGGAGCTGATGCCGGGGCTGTGGAGCCCAGCGCAGCTGTTTGCAGCCTGCCCGCTGCAACTGCCCAGAGCTCAAGCTGGCTACAAACAGCTGGGCTCTGGAGCTTGGTCATCAGCTCTGCGCCAGCAGTGGGGGAGAGGCCAGGGTTGCGTTACCTCAGGCCCCTTCCCCACCCTCCGCTCTGAGGCGTGCATGCGCCTGCTAGTATGGAGCTAATTTCGGAACCCGGAGCAAATGTTTGCAGCCTCCTGGCTGCAACTGGCCCAGGCTCTGGGTAGCTGCTGCCAATCACGGAGCCCAGTCTGCTTGCAGCAGGGCTTGCAGCTGCCCAGCCACCTGCTGGGAGCAGCCCGGGGTTCTTGGCTGGGAGCAGCTGTCTAGAACCCAGGCTGGTGGTGGTGTGCTGAGCAAAATGGCCTCGTGTGCCATTCTCGGCACACGTGCTGGGGGTTGCTGACCCCTGAGCTAAGTAGTGCCTTTTACATAATTTATTGACTTGTTCCTAATCCAGAGAAACCTCTGGAACAGGACAGATAAATAAATACGTACACCTCTGAGGTAAGGTTACCCAGATGTATGGTTTTAAATGCATAACAGCATAGCTTTTTATTTTTCCTGAATAATAGCCTTGGACACTCATTCTCAGTAGTGAGTGCTGTCATACGTGGGTAATGGAATATAGAGTTCTTAGCATCTTTCTTTCCTTCTTTTTCTTAATCCACTATCAGCAGTGAACAAAAACTGGTATAATCTAACTGGTGAATTGGGCCATTCTATTTAATTTTTGCTGTACAAATGTCAACACCCAGACATCTTGCATGCAACTGGTAGATGGCATGATAGTTTAAAATTGCAAATGGCATGGAAACGGAACTCTCCTCATAGAACAATGATTCTTAACCAAGGTGCCATGAGATCCTTTTAAGGGGGTTGCGCAATATTAGCACTGTTAGGTGTGCAAACAGCAACATATGATTTGTAAGATAAACCCAGAGATTTCAAATAGGAACCCACAGTGTCATAAACATTTTGCCCTGTTGTGTTCTTTTGGAGGTCTTTGCAATAAAAGAGTTGCTCTGTTATTTTTCCATAGTCAGGAAACAAGTGAAAACTAAGAATTGACATTTTCTGAGGCGTGCCCTGAGTCTAAACATGTTGAAAATCACTGCCATAAAGATTACAAAACGCTGTAATTGAAGGAGCATATATAGTTTCTTCGTATCTCTCAGAGACAGACAATTCTGCCTTTTCATTTGAAGATGCAGTTTAAAGTGTATATACAGAGAGCTTAAACTGCTCGATGTATAACTGGCTGCAGTTTCATTTCTTTCCGGGACTTGCTCTGTTGTTCCATAACTGACTTCTCTAAACAATGTAGCAAATTTCTTTACCAAAGGAATGCTGTTTCTATCACAGGTATCCCTAATGAACTAATTGTCATTTATATCTATTATGTGCCCTTTAAATTGAGGCATGGCCTTATTTACTAAGCATCTACAACTTTATTGGATGTTTAAGTCACCAGTGTCATGTATAAAATGTGGTCTTCAGGTTTTCCAAGTATGGAGTGCCCATGGTGTGATTAGGCAGACAGGGTTTTTTGAGGAAATGGGATATCTTTTAGTTGGTCTAATAAAAGACTTCCCCTTTTCTCAAAGAACCTTGTCTGCCTATGTTCTAGACCAACATGGCTACAACAAACACTCTTGAAAAGCAGTGCGATTTATAGGTTTTGAAGCCTATTTTAATATAGGATAGTGGTTGGCAACCTTTTTTGGCAGGTGTACCACAAATGACTGCATCTTTCCTCAAGTGTCACTCCAGTTACCTGCTCTGTCAATCTGCTGCTCTGCTTTCTGCAGCTAGCCTTGCACCCCTTGCCTGATCTGCTGCTTTGCTTTCTGCTTCCTGCTCTATCTGCCTGTCCCCTCCCTGATCTGCCACTTGGCCCACACAGAGGCTGCCATGTAACAGTAATTTTACAGAATTTCGAGTTGCTGTTTCGAAGTACTATCACTGGTTTAAATTTGACTGTTTTTACAAAAAAAATAGAACTCCGGTATGGTAGTGTGGAGAGAGACGGGTTACGTGGGGGCTATCTATGTTTTTTGTATTGTACTGGTAACAAATGCCACAGTTCCTCTTCCAAAGAGTCATTTTGGTGTTTTACTACTCTGTCTTCTCAGACACAACTCTCTCTTTCCTCCTTTCCCCTTCCTGGTAAAATGAAACTGTGCTTTACTTCCTGAGAACACGCCAGTAGATGGCGTTTGAGGTGCTTATTATTAACTGATGGTACTGCTGTTTCAGCCCTGAATTTGAAGTTCATATATCAAAAGTATACCCTTTGCTGCTCATATGAGCAATTAACATTCAGCAAGCTGCATCTCATCTTCTGTTAAACTGTGAGTGTCAAAGAGAGAGACCCTGCAGTGCTGTTCTATCAGTCTGCCAGGCTACTAGAAGTTAGGGCCTGGGCCCTGATAGACATGGCCCTGTGCAAAGGGGGTGAACCCTTGCATCTGTGGCTGCTGGACCCCTGCTGCTGTCCCTGGACCTCTGCCCTAGACTGCTGGTACCAGACCCAGTGCAGCTACTGTTGACCCTATGAATCCAGTCATGTGGATCCAGCCTGGAATCAAAACTGAGTTTGAGACTCTTGTGTTAGACCCCTGACTTCAAATATAGTCTATAGATTGCCAAAGGGGTGGATCCAGACAGGGTGCAGTAGTGCTGTTGCACCCCTTCACTTCCGAGAGCTTCTATATCAGTTGACAGACACATGCTTAGTGAGCTTGCTACTGCCACCAAATCCCCTTTTGCAGTATCCTAGATCTACTACTGACTGCTACACTACTTCAGGAGTGGCCAAGCTGTGGCCAGCCAGCTGTGTGAGTCTCCTAGGTACTTTAAATTTGGCTCTTGAAGATGATCCAATAAGAGATATCACCCGCAAAGATACTTACCTCTCACTCAGAGTCATGAAGGAAATCATTTAATGACAAATTATTGGAGGTTGGACAC